ATTGTCTTCACACTGTCTCCTCATCTGCCTGTCTGTTGTTTTCTATCATCTGTTAGGACTGTGATACGATGCACAGCAATTTGATTATTTGTTTCCACCTGTCACTGTATATAGGTTTAGCTGAACAGTTCTTCCTTCTTTTTGCATAAAGCAACATAACCCCTTACTCAGCAGTCACAACCTCTTTGAACTCTTTCACAGCCAAAATCACTGCCAAAAACTGTTGAGGGGAGGCATTCTAAAATGCAACTCTAGCCCAACTATACAACCTGCACAGGTTCTCTAGTTGGTTTTCTGTTAGATAATACTCACCTATTTCTCAAACTTAAAAAATATATATATAGTGTTGTGATTTTTCTCCATTGGGGATTTTATTGCTTTGCCTGCTGTAACCATCAACTCTGCCTCTTCCTAAACATCTATTCTTTAAGATCCTTCCATAATTTGCCAACCAGAGATTATCACTTCCTTCCTTGACTTTTCTGCAATAGTTGTCTATACTTCTTGTATTGCATCAATTCTGTGCAGCAGTTTATTATGCTGAATTATATGCTCATTTGTATCTCCCTGTCTCCATTTTTCTTTATAATGTATCATTTATAGTATAAAAACAGAGTTCTATCTTTGAATACCTCTTGCTCTCAAAGAGACCTAAAATTTTTAAAATTAATTTGCTCAACTGCCTTGAACTCAGAGAACATCCTACAAATTTTACTCCATGTGTGAATCTTATAACTTCATTGTTTTAGGAGAAATTTTTATTCTAAGAAACTAGTGTGGTTTGTGGTTTCTAGTCATGGTTTAAGCTACCCCTTGGAAGAATGAAAAACAGTTGGTGTCCAAGGAGCTCTGGAAATTAGTCAATAAACTGATTGTAGACAGAAGTCAAAAGTAAAGAAGTGCTATTTGCATATTGCAAATTTTATGTTATTTATGTGTAAACAAGCTGTTATAGAAAGCAAAGTATTTCCCATAATTTGATTTTTCTTTTTTTTTCCTTTTTTTTTTTAACCAAAATCATGGACAATATTTCCAAAGAAGGTATTTTAGAATTGTAGTATGAATGTTAGCACTCTGGTGTTCAATTTTTTCCTTCTTCATTCCATGAAATATATGCTATCTAATATAACCAAGGAAGATAAAGTTAACCTTAAGGGATATTTTTGGATTTGCAAAAAAGTTATTTGAGGTGGGAGGGATAAAATATGTAATTATAAAACTTGTATTGAAATGTTTATAATGTCAAAATTGACGCTATTTATAAACATACAAGAAATTGATCAGGAATTTTGAGATAGGAAAAGGTGATTTGGCAGAGCAGTTAAGACACAAAGCGAGTGGGGTTTACTGCACGCTCTATCAGTGCTTGAGTTCAAGTCCTCCCCTGTTTCTGATTCCAGTTTCACACTTGTGTGTCCTCTGTGAGACAGTGGTAATAGCTCAAGTAGTCGGTTTCCAGTCACCCATGAGGAAGACCCAGATTGCATTCCTAGATGCTGGTACAACCCAGCTTTGGTAGGTATTTTAGGAGTGAAACAATTTAGGATCTCACTCCCTTTTAACTAAATAAATAACATTTTAAAAGATTGATAAACATAGACTTAGTATTCTGAAAGTTTAAAATTAGAGAGCAAGAATTGTACAAATTAATTTAAATCCTGTTCTGTTGTGATAAGAAGAGACCAAATATATGAAGGGCTAAAGCTATGCAAGAGAAGGGGAAATTGTATGTGATAAAAGAAAAACCAACAAGTGGCCCAGTACTCTGATGTATAACACATAAAGGGCATCATTATCAATACAAGGAGTAAAATAAGCAGAAAACATGAGAGGGAGAGAAAATTATAGGTGGAAAAGATTACAAATGAGGCTAGTGCAATGTGAAAAACCCTGGACCAAGGACAGTGTTCAGGAGGCCCCTTGGGTGGTATCACATACTGATGAGGAGAAATTGGACACAAAGCTGGTGACTCAGAGAACAAATATTTATGAGGCAGTCATAAGTAGGGGGTGTCCTAGGTTTGCAATGTACATAGTACAGGTTAGGAACTGAGCTAGCTTTCTAGCCCAGTTTTAGCCCAGCCAATGTTGAGCAAATTAAAGGTAAACATCTGTTTTTCACCTGATCTAAAGAATTACTTGCTTACATTGTCAGGTAACTGTTTTATTCTACGTTTCTCCTAGTTTTCTCTGGGTCTTTGTGTAGGCTCCAGATGATGAATTCCATATGTTGATTAACTTAGAGCCTTTGGTCTTCTCTACTATTATTGAGGCTCACTCTCTTTCCTCCTTCAGGCCATTCTCAATGACAAAGTATTAAATATGCAATCTACCCCGCAACCCACTTTATGTTTCTTCATAACCTCATCACCTTCAAACATACTATGTGATTTATTATAGTACTGCCTACTGGGGTTGGCAAAGAGTCAGAGTCTATTTTTACTCATGAATATTTTTATGATGCTTAGAAAAGTGCCTACCATATAGTAAATGCTCAGTGAATGTTAGATGAACACATATACATGTGAACAAATTATATTCAATTTCTAGGGATATTTGAGAAAGTTTTGAGTTTATTCATAAAGCTTATTGCTTGGCTACTCCTTCTCATATCATTCACTGAACTGAGGAGGCTAATCAGGTATGTGTTATATAATTAGTATTGTATATGGTTCTTACAAAATACATTATTTGTGCTGGTTCTGACAAATAGAATATGAATGTCATAAGATTTCAGTTGGCACTTTTAGGAAAGGAGAGGAAAATACCTGGATAACTATAGGAGTTTTCCCCCTGGGGCATTTATTAGCTGTAGTAGTTGGAAAGATGCTCTCCAAAACAAGGTGGGTTGGTGAATAAGATAAACCTAAATTCTAATTTCAGGCGTTCAACTCATTGTCTCTACTAGGACTCCTCATTAACCTCTGCAGGTCTAAATGATTTTATTTGTAAAAATGAAGATCATAATCTCAACCTCACAGGAAGATTGTGAGTTATCAAATGATCTCATCTAGGAAAACAGTTAAGTTTTGGCACAGAGAAGTAATTAAAACATGAATGTGGCATGAATAGAATTCATTATTGATAAGTTGGGGAAAATGTGTTTTTAAAATGTGACTTTTCTCAAACTCTCTCTCGACTGTTTCTTACCCACCTATCAAAAACAGGTTTTGAACCTGTTTTGATACATCTGTTCTCATTGCCATTAACATAGCGCACTGCACTGTTTATTAAGTGGATATTAAGTATACCATTGTCTCTATTGCAGATAAGACAACTGGGTTTTAGACACTTTAAGAAGTTCTGTTAGAAAAACAAAAAGCAGGTGGTTGACTTAGTACTGGAACCCAGAAGAGTGTTCCTCTAAAGTTGACTCAGCAATCTAGGCCATGACTTTAGTCTCCAGGACCTGATCCCTGCCAAAGTATATTTTAAATCTGTAGCCTGGGATGTTTTGCCTTTTTGAGCACCTAGAATATGATGTATACTCTTTCATAATTTATAGTAGTTTAAAAATATATTTGTTCCTCTTTTTTTACATATCTACTATGCTTTCTTAAAATACCTCTTCTATGTAAGTAAACTTTTTTCTGTTTTTAGCTATTGAATGGATTTTCATTAGACATCTTTCACAAGGAATTCCAAGAAAAAGTGTGATGACTATCTCTTTAGCCATAGGTTCCTGTCTAATTACTCTTCAGTGCAGCCATTCCTCATGACAACTCTGTATGTCAGGTATTATATTTATCTTCCTATTAAAGGTGATAAAAGTTAAATGTGGTGAGATCATACAATTTGTATTTCAGGTCTTGGACTTGAGACCTCACATTTGAGTATAGAGTCCATAATTTTAACCAGAAATTCATATTGATCCTCACATACCAGATATGATTATTTATTTTCATTAATAAATTCTTGGAAAATACAATTTCATAGTGTTTGAATTATATTTCTGTGAACTATGACTCTCATACATTGTTTGAAAAACTCTTTATTTTTCCTGTGATGCTGGCATCCACGGTTAGTCAAACTTGACAACCTTATTTATATGAAGTAGATAAATCAAAAATTGAACATAAATCCCAAATTTCAGTTCAACTCTTAAAACATTGTTAGTGATATCATTCCTTGCTTCCTTCTTTGGAAATACTACATCGGAGGTCTCCAGTACTGCAAACAATCCGCATGCTTTAAATCACAAACTTGCACAAATTCAAAACCAAAAATAAACTTTTACAAGACTCTTTCCTGTCCATGACGACTTAGGTTTAATTTTTTTTTCACTTCCTAAGTAGAATGATTTAAACATAAAGTCTATTTTTAAGAGAGAGAAAAGGAATCTGTGCACAGCAAGTTGGAACAGTGTGCAAGCACCCTGGCTTCACTGTTATCTGAATGACAAAGCACTAAATCACAGGGTGGAAAAAGTCAGCGTGTTCTCTTAGAATACAAATAGATTAGCATCAGGAGAAACTTTGTCCAAGAAAGGGAAAAGACATCTACCAAAAGAATAAATCATGCACACTAAACCTATAATTTTAAAAAATACTTTAAGAAACATTTTAGCTAGTAAATGTAACTGTCAGATAAAGAAACACAGAGAAAGTTCCATGTGACATTTTTTAAAGTGTCCTTTCCAAGTGTCATCAGTCAACATAACCCTTCTCTTTGGGTCTTTATATCCCTTATATGATTGATCAATGACTGTAAATTCAGAGAAGAAAAATGTGTGCCTTCTCTCTCTCTCTCTCTCTTTCTCTGCCTAATACACACACACACACGCACACACACACACACGCACACATATACATGTTACTCCTTTTAATTCTATGGTGGAACAATATTTAACATTTCTAGGCATGTAAGAACCTTTCCTAAGCTAAAATGTGATAAAAACCAATTTTCCATGACATGTTAACACCAACATTCCCTTTAAGTTCTTCTAATATACAATTTAAAATTTTCTCACTCAGAACTCAAAGAATAAGTTTTCCTCTTACCATATATTCCATGTTTGCTGCTGGTGGAAACACTTTTCCCCGAACTTGATTATGATAATCAAGAATGGCGATCATGTCATTCTGCGAAATGTAGCGTTTCCGCCTGGCTTTGGGGAGATCCGCAGAATCTAGCTGTGCTTGTAGAGCTGCTTCAATATCAGTGAAATTATTGGTTGGCGGGGATGAGTCAGTGGAATTGAGTAAGATGACGGTACTTGCTTCACAGAGAAGGGAGAACATGAGCGCACTGCTGACGGCAGAGATTGCTATCATGTTGAGGGGTGGAGAAGAAGAGGCCACCGAGTTTACTTTGCTTTAAATCAGAAAGACAGAGTTAGGATATATGGGGGAAATAAAGCCAGAGGGAATGAATTTACAAAGTCAACATTAGGAAGCATTGCTTGGTCTGACTTTCTCCAAACCCAAAAAATTGAACTCAAGCCTAGGAGACAATTATATTGAAATCTACCCATTTTGTTGATACTAGGAGGCAGACCCCCAAGAGGGCCTTCCTAGAGCTAGAGAAAAATAAACAGCATGATCACTAACCCTGAATAAATGTGAACCATTTGTCCCACAAAATGCAATACTGATTATTAATTTTCAGTAACGTGTTTAGAAATTGAAGTTCATCTTGAGAATGAAAATAAAAAAGTTCAGCACAGGCAACAACAGAGAATGTGTTGATATTTCCTCCCAGAACTATATGTACACAAGTGGTAGAACACATACAAAAAAAGAAATAGTCATCTAATTGCATTTCTTAAAAATATGTGGCTTTTAAAAATCAATGCATGCAATAGAAACTTGTTGAGCCAAGCAGCTTACCTGTGCACAGTGTCAAAATGAATTAACTGTTCTTCCAAAAATTGAGTTTTTTGCTATGTTGTAGTATGAACTGTTGTAAGAAGAGTATGTCTTATTAGAAAATCTCAGAGAGCAAAAGTCTGCAAGGTTTGAATGCTGCTGGCTACAGAAGCAGCTAACAGCTTTTATATGTCACAGTTTGCAACGTCCAGAAAGGGCAGTCTCTCTTAAGGGTCTCTCTTAGCCAAAATCAAAGGGGAGGGGCTTTGGATTGAAAAAAAAAAAACAGTGATTGGGTGGCAACCCTTTTTATGTGGGTGGTGAGGAAATTGAGTCACACCCACAGCTTACAAAGTACAAACCAAAAAAGACAAACCCCCTTTTTTTTCTCTGGGCTTTCACCTTTTCTAAGTGGCTAATTTTTTTCTCATTTAGTGCTTTCGAGTTCCTGGTTCCCATGCAAAAAGAAGAAAAGGGAAAAAAAAAAAGGACTGTGGGTTCTTGAAAACACAGATGGCTGAGTAACAAGCAGTACTTTTTTAAAGACAGTAAATGACATGGGAGCTGAAAAGAGCAGGCTGATATTAAATCAAGAGATCAGCTCACATAGTTAATCTGGGTGGCCACAAGTATGATTGAAGAGAGATGCCTGACAAATCAGTTGTAGTCAAACTATAGAATCTGATATTAGGATAATAGATGCTTAACTAGTTGTACTCTCCATGTGGATTTATTCCTCTAACTTATATTTTATTCTTTATCTATCCCTTCTTTTTCTCATTTTACCTTCCCTTCTTTTTCCATTTCTCTACAGAGAAAGTTCCCTAAATTATCTGCCTTTTTTTTTAACCTACCTTCTGTATAGTGTAAATATAGAAACTTATGGCAAATGACAGCAGCCAAGAAGACATCTGTTTCAGGTTTAGAGGCTTATAGTTTAGATATTAAGCAGAGAATAGCTCAGCCTCTCAGAAAGCATATTGGAGGGCATAGCAAAGAGGCCATGAAAAATGTAACAGCAGCACCAGCTGCCAACAATCAAAAGTGCCTTGTTAGAAGGGTGCATTGGAACAAAATCCATGTTAGACAAAGTAGAAGCCAAGAATGTGAATATTAGAACAAGTTGTATCGAAGGACTCTCAAAGTAGCTATGTGTCATATTCTCATAAACAAAATTTGGGCTATGGACAGTCAGTAGCAAGAGGAATCCTGGAGAACATACACTGACTTACCCAGTTTTCTAATGAGATTGTCTTTTGCCTGTCCTAACAGGAGAAGTGGTATGTGAATTTTCAGGCATTAGAAAGTATAATCATGTGGCACACCAGACTGTGAGTCAAGATTCCTCAGATACATTCCCAATTGGATCACCAACAGTATGTGTGGCCCATTGTATATTGTTTAACTCTTCATTGGTGCATTTAAAAAGTAGAGGGGAAAGGTGCATGTGCTACAGGAAGACAGATTTCAAGAGTCAGCAGCATGCTTGAAAGCAGAAGTGTTACTGGTGTTTAACATACAGTAATGAGACAGACTAAGGCAGCAGTAATGTTTGCTATATTATGATAAGTATTAAGCTCCTTACTAAAATGAAGTCATGGAGAGGGGAGTAATTTAATTTGCAATACTAAAAATGTTAAACACTGAATTAACACTGTAAACTTGAACAGGCAAGAATGTATCATATAAGCACAGGAAGTGGGTGAGAATACTGTGAAACACCAAGGCAGCTTAAGGAAAACACAGGGTTGGTCATAGCTACAGAATATTAAATGGAGCTGTCCAACTAGTGTCTCACCCATTTGGAAAGTACTCCTGGCACCTTGACTGAATCTCTAGGATGCTGAGCTAAGGATTCAAAAATGGAATAGAAGTTTAAATTGGGTATCCTCCCTCAACTTTTTGGAAAATTAGTGCTAGCACACATTAGTCTATACCTTCTACATATCTCTTATTAACGCTCAACATTTAGAGCACAGAAGTACTCCTAACACTTCAACAGTGAATATGAACTTTTCTTTGGAGTTCTTAAAGTTTTTCCTAGCATTTTGTAAAAATCAACTACTGCATTCAAGATTAATTCCTTTGTTACATGTACCAACAGACAGTGTTCACCTCCCGGGGTTTGATATGGGGGATTTCCATAGTGATAAAAATATGATCCTTCAGAAACTTGTTCAGCGCATAAATGAATTTCCTCATAAGAACTGAGGGATGGAGCAGGCAAAAGAGAACAGGGAAAACTTCAGAGATGATACTACACAGGAGACCAGCTCAAAAAGAGCAGACAGTTGCTTAATCCTGAGACCCTGAGGCATGTCAATGATTTCAGATGTCTTTCAGCACACATGGATTGTATTGTGGAATTTCGGACTATTAAGGAAACCCACAAGGTTACGGAATCATAAAAGACCTGTGGGAGGAGAGCTGAGAAAAGCAGATGTTATTGCCAGAAGAAGTATTTGAAATACATTGGAAGTAATTTTAATCTTAAAATACTTGCAAAATTAAGAGGCATGCATCCAACTTGTCAGTAAGAGAACTATTAATGAACAACCAGCAATGAGGTAGTTCTTTATGAGATCTCTCCTTGAGAAAGACCATTGACATGTTTTGAAGCCTTTAAAGGGGATTTCTTACCAGCAGAGACAGAAGTGGAATTGGAATGCAGTTATGATGCTGAAAATAAATATGCATACAATTGGCAGTAGCTTGAAGCTTGTGGAAAAATGGTTTTTATTTTGTAATTTTAATTAAATACGTTATGCACACCCCAGAATGGCATATCCTGTTAAATAAAGGTACTTTGGGATATTTGTGTGTTTGTTTTTATCCTAAGTTCTTTATAACTAAAATCTATTGTATTTACATAACCCAGGCTCTTGGTAGATATTCAGAATTTCAGAAATTCAGAAACCGTCCAAGAGCCACTGAATCAGAATCTTCACTTTACACAGCTAGTCACTAAATTTTGAGAAGTACCACATAAATCACTGTTTTCAGAAACAGATACACAATTCAGTGTACACACATTTGCTGAACTACTGGAAAAGTCCATTTATCTAGTAACAGGGACAGTTAAAGACAATATAGGTATACATGAAATGTTAGAAGAGGGGAATGCAAGTCAACTTCTATTTGTAAAAAGGAAAAAGATGACTTGGAAAGTACTTACATAAAGCAGCTTGCAGAGAAGTTATTTACTGGTAGTCAAGCCTTTATCAATTGCTCTATATAACTCTATTTGTTATTTCATACTTATTTATCACAAAGCTGTTGAAACAATGGAATGCCGCATATGTAGAGGAGTTTATAAGCTGTGGCATGCCACATAAATAGAAACTCTTATTCTTCTTTGTCATTCTCTGGAGAAAGGTTCAAATTATTCTTTGTTCCTCATGCAATCTTTGTTTGCCTTATTCAATAACTGAAGAACAGAGGTTTTTTTTTTTTTTTCTGTGAAATGTTTTACCAGTCTGATCCTTTTTTTTTTTTGTCAATATTAGGACTGCTTAAGCATAATCCTATTTTATTTACTAGGATTAGTACAATTGCCTTCCAGCTGACATTTCTGATTCCAGTGTTTACCCTGCCATCCCTTAACCACATTGCTTTAAGTGACTCTTTATAATAGATTTTAGGTGCCAACTTGATTAAATTAAAGAATAGCTTATGGGATATATGAATTATCAATCATTACATTAATTGTTTTCAGTGGTTCAGTAGGCACTGAGTTCATCCCTCTTCTGTTGAAAGGGAAACCCATGTAGTCAAGTATTTGATTAGAATGTTTGAGCTGGCCTGTGTGTGTCATTTCCAAACAATATTGAAATATGATTCTATGAGCTGAATAGGAAAGATTTATGTACATCTGGGGAGCAATATTCACTCAACTGGTGGCACAAATGGAACAAAATGGTAGAAGAAGAGGGAATTTCTTCTTTCTTTTCTGTAGCCAGTCACCTTTCTTTCCCTCCCATTTGGTGTTCAAACTCCAGGTCTCCAGCTCAAATTCCCAGATCCATGAACTCAAACTGGTTTCTACCCCATCCATCTCTGTGCAGTTCTTTCACCTTCAGTATCAAACGGAACCATATGTCATTAACTCTTAGGACCTATGGGCTTGAGATACTTCATATGACCAACAGCTCTGGTTCTCCAGCTTACAACATATCCTGGGGTTTCTCAGAATTCATATCGAAGAGAGACAATTCCCCTTGCAATTCTACCCACACGTCCCTCCTATTGTTTCTGCCTTTCTGGTGAGCCCTTACTAAAGCACCTTGCTATAAAACAAACAGAATCATTTCACTCCTCTACATATTGACCATACTGACATTCATGGCGATCTCATTGGATCTCCATTGCCTATACAGACATGTCTATAGAGGCCTGTGAGAATAGAAGTTTTAAGCCTAACTTACTATAATTATCCATTTATATTACTCTACTCCTACATATTGTGCATTAGTCATGCTTAAACTGTTTTTTTTTTCATGTTAGCTTCCTTAAACTATGCTCATGTGTATTTCTTTACTGAGTAGATGGCAGCCATCTTGCCTCATAATTTAATTATTGCTGGTAATTATGTATGTTTTTTATAGACGAGCCCAATGACATTGCATTAGATATGTATTAACTTCCTTATCAAATTATTTTCTTAGTAACTATAACTATCATACAGAATTCTAGAGTCATCCACATTTACATTTACTTACATAAAAGAATTTTCCACCAGCATATCCATTAATAATTACAGGCAAATCACCAATACAGGAAATAATTTAATGAAAGGTAAAGGCTTTATAAGAATGGTAGAGTTTTGATTTCTAAAATGTCAACATTTGTAATGTTAACATTTTTATGGCCAGGAAATGTGAATTTTCTTTATGAAATCTGTATATTAACTCTGTTTTCAATGTACATTACAAAAGGTGGCTAGAAATATCACATAACCTGTGTGTAATTGCTCCAACATTTCTCTCAAGAAAAATGAAACTACATTTTTATGTTTTCTGTGTAGAGAAAGCATGCAAATTTAATTGTAAATGTGGAC